CTTTTTTAACTGTGCTCATCACACGTTTAAAGCAGAAGTTAAGAAATGCCACACTCTGATGTACACACACCTATTTCGCTTAGTTTCCTGTACTCTTCCTTTCAAAAGGGAAGTTTTAAATGTAATGGCTACATTAGATTAGCTTGACTTTTGTACATTAGCCCAACTGGAAAGGGGAAGCTGCTAGAGAGGTCACGGTGACACCGGCAGCCTGAGACAATGAAGCATGCGGTGAGGATTTTGTTGGAAATGGGACTAAGGCTTTAGGAGATGATTCTTTCTATCCGGCATCTGACCCCCTTTGATCATCAAAACGATTGTGTCAGACTCAGGTCAGGGCATAGGATGATGGGAGGAAATTCTCTTAATTGCAAACTGGCAATTTGGTGAAGAAATCGCAACAGGTGTTATTTTAATAAATTGTTAAAAGATAGACTTGCTGCCCTAGTTAGTTAGGCACGTCTGTTTATGTATAAGCCTTTACACAGCCAAGGATCATTTAAAAGTATCCTATACTAAAGGGATTATAGAGGGTCATCACATCATCATGGAGTTTTTCCAGCTAATTTACTGCCTTTTTCATATTTAGTTATCCTTCATATTCTTTATATATTCAGTGATTTCTTCCCTTCTCTCCTCCCTCCTTCACTCTCTGCCTCTCCCTACCCTGTCCTTCCCTTCCCTCCTCCTTCCTTTCCCCCTTTCTTTCTCAGCTATTTGTCTTTTAATGTAGTTGCCAGGCTTTAGTTCTGAGATTAGTATTTGTGAAAGAGTTTCTGTGCAAAGCCTGCCATTTAGATGGTTCACCCTAAAATACACATGCTCATGTGTGTTTCTGTTACAAGACTTCTCACTCTTCTGTGGACGAGGCCATTGGGCGTTCAGACAAAATCTACCCCAGCAACCTGTATTCGTTTTGCTGGGTACATTTCACACTCTGTTTTGTACAGGTTCCCCCCCCCTCCTTCTTCGGTGCTTCTGTCCTTCGGGTTGTAAGCTTAGTGTGTGCACATATGTAAAATTTCAAGTGCAAACGAGAACAGAGCAGGAAACAGATTTGCGCAGTTGCCGTCTGGGCCCTTGTATGGGTGCCAAGGTAATGCTGCTGAGTGAAACAGGAGATGTTGCCTGGTTCTCAGGAAATGGCGTGGAAAAAAAAATCTAAACTTCATGAGCAGATCAATTGGGTGGGCATTTCAGGCCATCCCATCCTGGCCTCATGATTGGCAGTGTTGTCAAAACCTTCTTTATCTAGAAATAAATTACAGGACAAACAGAGATACTTTTCAAAATGTCAGGGAACAGAGAGTGGGGTGATTCAGTTGAAAATGTATCACACCTCAAGAAGTGCTCCCTGCAGGCATTGGTGTGTCTGGGGTGAAGGGCAGGTTGAGGTGAATAGAGGAGCTTTGCTTTGAGTGTGGAGAGGAGAGAGATGAAGGAGATGCCTGGACAGTGTTTCCGGCTGGGGATGGGAGCCCCCCCCCCCCCCCCCCGGCTCAGGGAGAAGTCAGTTCCTTGCTCTTTAGCTTTTAGGAGCTGATCAGAGCTATGTCTTCTTCTCCATAGAACAAGGGCAACATGTGGACTAGTTCTTAGGGACACACTCAGAAGCATTGCTCCTTCATTTCCTATTTATTCAACTTGCATAAGTTGGGGTTAAGTTTAGATTTTATGTATTGCTGGCTTTTCTACTGCCCTCAAATGTCTAGCTGTAACTTACTACGGGCTTCTAAAAAATTAACAGAATTTATTAGATATTTGTTTTGTTCTGAGACAGGGAAGGGGGAGCAATAAACGTGGGCCCTCTGCTAGGTTCAGGAGAGTCAGTTCCAGCTGGGCAGGCTGTCTTCTGTCTTCATCATTATATTCCTTTCATTTGTCTCAGTGCTCAGCTCATAAGAAAGGCATGCTAGTTTTCTAAGTAAGAGTTAGCTGTGTCATGGTGGTGTACACCTTTAACCCCAGCACTTGGGAGGCAGAGGCCGTTGGATTCTCTGTGAGACTGGGGCCACCCTGATATACAGAGTGAGTTCCAGGACAGCCAGAGCTACACAGTGAGACTCTGCCTCAGACCCTGCCACCACCCCCCAGAAAATTGGTGGATTAAAATATGGATGAATACAGCATCAGAAAGACTGCGGAAAAGGTGCATGCAAGACATAATGCTGGGCCGAGAGAAAGAGCATACTATTTTCTTTTGATGGGACAGGATAAAGATACAGGAATTGGATCCTGAGAGATGATTTCCTGGAACTTCCAGAATGGTACCCAACCAGAAGGGTAATAAGCATGGAAAAGAAAAGAAGTCTTGGATATCAGTTTGCTGCAGATAATTCCGACAATTCGAGATTATAAGGATAATAGGGGTGGGACTGTGGTGGTCCAGCATTGTATCCTGAAGTGTATTCCATCACTAAATGACGATCCTGAATCAAAGCAGGATCTGGCTAGGGACTGGAGGGCTGTGGAAGATTTGGAGCAATGGGGTGTATTATTTCCACCCTTTCAGCTGCTTTCAGTTGCAGAATATCTACACCTTAAGTTGCTTTGGAATTTAGAAGCTAATTAAGGAGGCATTTCTTGGTGAGCAGGAGCAGCACTTGATGCTTACATTATACCCCAAATGGAAGCAATGATTGGGTAACATACTCTTTGTACTTTAAAATGAAGTAAAGAAAGAAAAATGAATGCTACCAAAATCAGCTCGGACTTGGTGATGACTGTGTTGTTGATTTGCCATGTAAACTCAGGGATGCATTAAAAGTCAGGGACACTTCTCTTAGAGTTTGAAAGAAAACAGCAGGCAAGCAAAGTATAAATCTCAGCAGCTGGAGGGAGGAAGGAGTGAAAAAAAAAACAGTGTCTTTAGGTTGGGTATGAAGGTCAGAGCTGAAAAGGACATTGAAGGAAAAGAAGTCACTTTTTTTTTTTGAGTCAAAAACTCAGACAAACAAGCCTCCAGTAGTGCAGCTGTCTGATCTACTGTGTAGTAACTGGGAAGTTCTGGCTGCCACGGTGCCTTCATCTAGTATTTAAAGCAGTCCATCCACTTGGAACTTTCCATGCTAAGGCAAAAGTGGTTGAGCCAATGGGTTCCCTTGTGACATGTCTATGATGCCAGCAAATGGTTGGCTTTCTTGTGCTACCAAATGCATACCCATGTCAAACAAAAAGTTTGTTGATACATGCTTAAATCTCTCTCTCTCTCTCTCTCTCTCTCTCTCTCTCTCTCTCTCTCTCTCTCTCTCTCTCTCTGTCTCTCTCTCTCTCTCCTCTCTCCCATCTATCTATCTATCTATCTATCTATCTATCTATCTATCTATCTATCTATCTATCTATCTTTTGAGATAGTCTCTATGTAGCCCTGGCCATCCTGGAATTCACTATGTAGAACAGGCTGGCCTCAAACTCACAGAGATCCACCTGCCTGCTGGGTGCTGAGATTAAAGGTGTGTGCCACTATGCTCAGCATTCTTGTCATGTCTTTACCCCAGAGAGAAAGCAACGTATAGTGAGGTGCTATTTCATTTCTTGGGTTGGGTGTATCCATCTAGTTTTGCACAGTTTATTCTGGTTTTAAAGAACTTGCATTAATGAAAGTTGGCTTCTTAAACTTGATTGTTTTAAGTCACTTTAGGGTCTTGCTGAGTTGAAGCCAATACAATCTGCTCGATTTCCAGTTCCCTCCCTCACTGCTGCTGTTACCACTTTTTCTTTAGTCTGTACATTTTTGATACGGTAAATCCAATATAATATTTTAAGGGTAATAAATGACACGATTTTGGATAAAGCCATTTCAAAACAATAAACATTTTGCACGCTGGGCCTTAATGTCTATTCTTCCCTTATAGTGCATGTACTTAGGAGGAGAGTTTTTTCCAGGCTGGTATTCTTCAGGCAGTTTTCAAATAAGATGTTTGTGGGGAGGGGCCGTAGGATCTTCAGTCATCGATTCTCTCTTTATAACTTTGCCCTTTTCCCGGGAACAGATGACTCGTGCAAGGCTCCCAGACTGAATCACAAGGAAGAAACTTTACATAAACCATTTATACTACATGTTTGGTATGCTGGCAGCATAAATCAACAACAATATCCATTACAGTTTCATCCCTGTATCAGTATTATCTTGATAGAACTGATCCCGATGTGTGGGAATTTGAACTCTGATTCAATACATCTAGACCTGGATAATTAATTATTCAGGGCACAGAGAACCTGGCCCTGCAATGTAGAGTAATTCTTCCTGGTCAGCGTTAACTCCACTGGCAATAATAAATAGGAAAAGTCTCCAGTGATGCCAGTATTTTAAAGTGATTAATCATCTCTTCCCCCCTTCTCCTCCCCCTTAGTTTTCTTTAACTAGGATTTTTCAGCAATAAATCTCTAGCAACACAGGTAGGAATTGTTCTGTAATTAAATTTTGCCCTGCTTAATTTCTTACCTTTTATGTGCTATTAAAAAACTTTACATTTTAAGGAGCCCCGATCCAGATTCAAAGCAAGAGAAATCCTTTTATGGAATACTGAGATTCTCTATGGAAAAGAAAGTCTTGATTTTGAATATTAGATAGGCATGCACTCATAAAAATTGTTCATCAACACCAGTTGGGGTGTCAGATATTCCAAGGTTTTGAATTGCTTCGCTTCCATGTTTATGGCTTTTCTGTATTAGAAAAAGTCTGACACATACATATGTTCCCACATGGAGGGAATAATTACTATTTGAGAAACTTTCAGATAATTGATGTCAGCTCTGTAGGAAGGGATGCATCCCATCATTTTAATCTTACACAAAATGCACTTGCCGAAGAAGCAGGTAAATGTCACCCAAGGAACGCCACATGTTTCCAGATGGTGCCCCGTAGAGCTGCCCAGCCATCATGTAGATTCCAGGTGACAGGGACAGATGTGACATATCTGTTGTGACACACTTCTGTGCCACCAGTCCGTGGCTCGGGGTGACTCCTGTCCCTCCCTTTGTGCCTTTCTCTGCTGCAGGACAACACAACGACGCACGGATGAACCTCGCCATCGCCCTCACTGCTGCCAGGTATGGGGCTGCCACAGCCAATTACATGGAGGTGGTAAGCTTGCTCAAGAAGACAGACCCCGAAACGGGGAAAGAGCGTGTGAGTGGTGCCCGGTGCAAGGATGTCCTCACAGGTATGCCAGGGTCCACAAGGGAGGCATTTCTTAGCATTTTGCTGTGCTTGTATAATGACTGAATTAGGATTTTTATGTCACTTTTCTTTTAGTGAAGGCAGCCTTCACTCATATTAATTATATTCTTTATTGTCAACAATGCCTGGTTTAACATGAAAATTTCCCCTTGTGGGACTTGCCAATTTCTCCCTTTTGTGTTAAATAGTACCACTAATGATAAGGATAATAATAAATGTCCATAGAACTCTCACAGCTGTGAATGCATTTCATTTCCCTCAGAGAAACATGTGATTAATAAAATTAAATCAATGTGCCAAGTCTTTGTGCATCACTTAGGTGGCACAGGCGGGGCATTTACACGTCCTTTGAGTCAATCACTTAAGGTTCTCATTCTTGCCACAGTGCTATCATTGGGTAGGCAGCTGAAAAATGGCATCATTTCTTGAGCAAAAGCAACACTTGTGAAATATATTGTTTTCATTGTAATGTAGCTAAGCGTTTGGATTTTTTTTCTATTCGAAAAAAAGTGTAATTTAGTGTCTTTCACTTTCCGTGTGTATGTGTGTGTGCGTGTGCACTCATATGTGCATGTCGTAGCTTAAATGTGGAGGAGGGCTGAGGGCAAGTTTGGAGTCCGTTTTCTCCTTCAACCTTGTAGGTTCTCACGATGATGGAACTGAGGTTGTTGGGCTTGGTGTCAGGTGTCTTAATCCACTGAGCTTGCCAGCCGTTTTTTCATATTCCCCGCGCCCCTCCCCTTACTCCCTTCCTTTCCCCCTCTTTTGCTTTGCTTTTATGTTTTAAGGACAAACCATTTACTCATCCTACTTTCTTTTAGTACTTAGATCAAAGGCAGTTTTTATGGTTTTTGTTTTCCAGTGCTGGGGCTTGATCCCCGCTTTTCAAATACCAGGCAAGAGTTGTATCCCTCCACCTTCCACAATGAAAAGGTGGTTTTGCTTTATTTCCTTTTTAATGTGGACTTATTTGGGGTAAATTTACTCAGATGTGAGCCTTTTGTTTGGCTCAATAACTCTGGGTGTTCATGTCACTTAGTGTGGTTATGCACGCTACTTCACCATAGGTTAAGTTAATAGGTGACTAGTAATCCAGCACCGGCAAGCGGAGAACGAACGGAGTATGTAATTGATGCTGCCTTTCTTCACAGGGCTGGAGTTTGATGTGAGAGCCAAATGTGTTATCAATGCCACCGGGCCTTTCACAGACTCCGTGCGCAAAATGGACGATAACAAAGCTCCTGCCATCTGCCAGCCTAGCGCAGGCGTCCACATTGTGATGCCTGGGTACTACAGGTAACAGCACTCAGTTTGAAAACCATCACGCGTGAAAGAGGCTCACAATACACTACATGTCTTCTATTCCGCTCTTTAAAAATTGATTTGGCCAGGTTGTGGTGACGCATGCCTTTAATCCCAGAACACTGGAGGTGGAGGTAGATCTGGTCTACAAAGTGAGTTCCAGGATAGCCAGGATGGTTACATAGAGACACCCTGTCTGTCTCTTTAGAAAAAAAATTGTTTTTTGAAGTGTTTGCTGTGGTTTATTTAAATTTTTTCATTGTGTGTTTTTATGGGCTATGGCTCTGTTACATGTGGACACTTTCCTCCTTCTTTCATGGGGTATATACATACACAATTTAAGGGATCTTTATGAAAAACTAGAAGCACACGAGAAAAACACATGGTCTTTGTGCTCCCGAGTCTGGTGTAGCTTGTTATGTGATTCCATCTACTCACATTCATCTTCTGTAAACAACATGACTATATCCTTCTTTAGGATGGCAGGAACCCTATTGTGCGTACACATCACTTTACCTCTGCTGCTGGGACACCTATGTTGGTTCCTAAACTCTTGAGAATAGTATGACAGTTACATTGGTATGCAAGCATCTGTCACATGTTGCCTTGAAGTCTTTTTAAATACCCAGGGATGGTATATATAGTTGGGTTATATGGTAGATCTGTTTCTGTTTTTAGCTTTTTCTTCTATCTTTTAATTTTTGCTCACAACCTCCATGCTGATTTTCACAGTGGCTGGACTAATTTACACTCCTTCTAGCAGTGGGTAGGGATCCTCTTTTGTACATATGCCTGCCAGCATTTATTGTTATTTGCTTTCTTAGTAACTGTAATTCTGACTGATGAGTAGTGACAGGGAATTTCTTTTCATACATACATTTATTGGCTATTTGTGTTTCATCTTTTGAGAAGTTTCCATCTCATTGACCCAATCAACTTATTGACTGGCTTGCTTGATTTATTTTTAAGACATTTTATTGCATTGGTGTGTGTGTGTGTGTGTGTGTGTGTGTGTGTGTGTGTGTGTGTGTGCGCGCACGCGCGCACGTACTTGTGGTCATGTGTGGGTTTGCATGCAGGTATGCCATAGCATGTGTGTGGAGGTCAGAGAACAATTTGTGTAAGTCAGTGCTCCACCTTCTACATGGATCCAGGTGTCTAAACTCAAGTCATCAGGCTTGGTAGAGGCACCTTTACCTGCCCCTGGTTTGCTTATTTATGTTTTTTTGAGGTCTTTGTATATTCTAAAAATTAGTATTTTTTCAGATGTACAACTTGTAGCAAGAACTTTCATTCTGCAGACACTCTTCACTTGATTAGCTGTCTCCTTTGCTGTGCAGTTGTTGGCATTATTTACTGAGCAACTGGTGTCCTATTCAGAATGCCCTTGCCTGTGCCTGTATCTTGAAGTATTTTCCTCCCATAGCTTCAGAGTTTCATGTCTTACAATGGATACTTTGACCTATCTGAAGTTGTTTTGTGTAGGTGGATGTCCAGTTTTACCATTTTCACGAGAGACTGTCCTATCTTTGATGTCCATTTTTGTCAGAGATCACATGGCTGGATTTAAGTAGGTTTCTTAAATTCTGTATTCTCTAGTTTTCATTTAAATTACTGTTATTAATTACCATTAATATAGATGGCTCAGAGGTTAAGAGCATTGGCTGCTCTTCCTGAGAACATGAGTTCAATTTCCAGCGATCACATGGTCGCTCACAACCATCCATAATGAGATCTGGTGTCCTCTTCTGGCTTATTGGCATGTATATAGGCAGAACATTGTATACATAATAAAGAAATAAGTCTGTAAGACTGCTAAGAATACAAATCATCTAGTAACTAATAATTTTTCATGAAATGTGAAGTTGTTGATTTTGAAATTATTGAAAAAGATTAGAAAATACTTCAGTTCTATGTTGGAGAAATAAATAAATTGTGCCTTACTTAACACAAGACAGCATTATATACCATTTATTAAAACTATAACTTCAAATAACTTTAGTAGGCTAGAAAAACCACTAATGGTATGGTGTCACTTCAAAATACATCTAAGAAATACATGTATCTACAAATTTTGTGCGTAAAGATCAGAAATATGTTGAGCCCTTTTTTTAAAAAAAATATTTTATAATTTATTGTGTATGCAGTCCTCTGCCTGCATGCCAGCGGAGGGCACCAGATCGGAGGGCACCAGATCTCATTCAAGGTGGTCATGAGCCACCATGTGGTTGCTGGGAACTGAACTCAGGACCTCTGGAAGAACACTCAGTGTTCTTAACTGCTGAGCCATCTCTCCAGCCCCACTGCTGCCCTTTTTTAAACATCATCTATAGCCCAGGCTGGCTTCAAACTCTGGATCCTGCTGCCTCAGTATCTGAGTGCTAGGATTGCAGTCTTTCTGTTCAGTAGCCCTTGTGGAGCTTATGTTTTTTTCACTGTTGGCTCACTCACCCACCGAGGTTCTTAGGCTAATTGTGACACTTACGTCTTTTGAAGCAAACCTTATTTTCTGAACCCTAGGTTCCCCATTTTTGGAAAAGGAATCGCCATGCTCTTGTAGAGTGATTACATAAGGAGAGGAAGTCACTAACTATATTGGCGTTGAACTTCCTGTGTTGGTTGCTACCTTCCCTTCCTCTCAGCATGGGCCTCTCTCTGATGAAGCTACTGTGAACTTATGGTTATGTATTGCCACAGCACATAACTTGCTCAAAGTTTGGCAAAGATCCGTTTTGAGACAGCATCTAATCTGTTGTCCAGAATGACCTCAAATCCCTACATTCCTCTTGACTCAGCCTCCTAAGAATTGGGATTACAGGCATCAGTTGCCACACTCAGCTCATGTTTGATTAGTGTAGAAACTTGGTGACTTTAGTAGCCTTAGCTTTTTTTTTTTTTTTTTTTTTTTGAGTGTAGGCTAGTAGGTAAAGAGTTAAGCTTGTATGCCCTCTTTCTTTTTGGGTCATTTGCAGAGGTGTCCTTATAGAATAGTAAAATTTGATATAATCCTAACTAATATTCTGTAGGGTAGCTGTGCTTGCGGAGCTGCTGTTGGGGCCAGCCGAGCAGCCCCAGGTTCATACCTGAGAGGGGGCGTGTGAACTAAAGAAAGGCTAGCTATAGACCCTAAAGGAAAGACAGAATACAATCAGGAGGGCAGATTCAGTTAATACTGAATTGCCACGAGTTAATTTTTCACCACTCTTGTATACCTTAATCAAAAGGGGAAACATGGTAATCATGTACGTGGAACAAACAGACTTTCTTCCTCATTTCTCCAAGGATTCAATAACCACACCTTAGATTCGACTTTTCCATACCTGGCCTTGAGGGTCAGGAGTAACCACACCTCAGACCAGGTCTGTTGTTCTTTAGAATAAGACACCCAAGGCCAAGATCAAACATGATACTGTAGCCACCTCTTTGGCTTATAGGTCTTATTACTTACCCAGGACGGGTTTTGAACTCTTTGCCCTGGAGCCAAGATGGAGTGCAGCTGTCTTATGGGTAACAACAACATTCCACATGTGGTTACTATTATTTTTTAGAGATGTGTTTTCTTTTGTCTGGATTGGTGTTTGCCTGCATTTACGTCTCTCTGCACCATATGTGTGCTTACATCTTGTGGAGTCCAGAAGGTGTTGGATTCCCTGGCCTTGAACTTACTGATGGATTTGGGATGTCGTGTGGGTACTAGGAATCAAGCCTGGGTTCCCTTGAAGAGTAGTCAGTGGTTTTAACCACTGGGCAATCTCCCCAGCCCTAGTGCTTTTGTTTTCATGATTTCAGTTATGTGTATGTGTGTGTGTGTCGGTGTGGCTTTTATGTGTGTGTGCATGAGTGCAGGTGTCTGCAGAAGCCAAAGGAATTAGAACCCCTGGAGGTGGAGCTACAGGTTGTGAGCCCCACAGCGAAGCTTCTTGGATAGAATTCTGGTTTTCTGGTCCAGTGCTAAGTGTTCCTAACCACTGAGCCATCTCTCCAGCTTCAGAAGACTCATCCTAACTTCAGAAAACCCAGTATACAGAAATCATTTTTGTAAATTTACTCCTAAAATCCAATCTAGAATTGTTTTCAGAATTGTGGTTTCTTCCAAAAGCGACACTAGCACTCCAATTGACTGCAGTCCGTAAATGTAATCACCTCTCCCTTCCAGCCAGCATTTTACCACTGACAAGAGGTCAATCTTTTTTTCCTGTAATGTGTGTACATACCGTTAGCTCTAACACTGATTGCTAAGTGGTTAACAATAAATTGATTTCAGTTTAACTAAGGGTTCTTCAGGAAAGCAATGGTCTGCATGAGAAAAATGTTCATTACCTTTAATCCTAGACACACACATAAATTAGCGAGCTTCCCCTGCCGATGCCAAATGAATCATACAGACTGAAAAGAGCTGTGCACCTCTCCCGTTGTACTGACTGTCACCAGCGCTGACTCTTTAGGGTGACCTTGCAGAACTAATCCTTCATAAGAAAACAAACTTCTCCTCAAGGGAGACTATGAATTAGGCAATTTAGAACTGATGAAAGACAATTCCAAGTGGATTCTTAAAATTTTATACCGTTTGTTGGTAGTTCTGTCTTCCCTCTGTGCTTGTTAATTTTATGCTTGACACATATGTCTTCACTTAAGCAGCCAATTCTCTGCAGGTTCCAGGTACGTGTCGCCTGGTAACTGTCACCTTCACCCTTTAAATGGCTTTTATTGCAGTGGAAGTTTCGGAGGGTCTCAGTAGTTGCACTTTTCTGGCTATACTTCCTACCTAAGTCACTCAGATTTAGAATCTTATGCTTAGCTTATCATCTGTATTACTTGAAAGCTGTCATGAGTTTTCCGGTCTATGAGATGGTTGTATATAAGTTATGTCAACATGAAATGTCTGAAGTTTCTTAAATGTTTTGTTTCAACAAAAAGCCATTTATCAAACCAAATCTTGGAATTTGAAGTTAGTGTCCAACCTAAAGTGACTGGTGGTTTTAAAAATTCGAATAGGGCATCAATTTGGAGCTTTTGTGCCCAAATTTTATAAGACATGAGATTGACTAGGAATTGTAGTTTCAAAGACAAATGTGACTTGATTCTTTTTAGAGATGAAAAAAATGTTAGACACTGTTTGTCAGCATGACAGAGTGAAATTCACTTCCCCTCTAGGACCCCGGATGATGGTGGGAACCTTAGGGAAAGGCTAGATTTGAATGAGCACTGTAATTCCCTGAGCTCTTTGAATTTAGTGCACAGAGCTTTGCAGGGCCAGCAACCTTGCAGAGAACGTCTGGTCTTCCTTGTAGTTTATGTAAAGAAGAGGCACTAATGAAGTTGATCAAGGATTTCTGTTTTATGTAAAATATTTTTGGTTTCCTTTTAAACAGTAATTGTTAGCCCCTTATCTCCTTACCTATTTGAATACATTTTTGAAATGGTTGAAGGGTATAATAAACATAAGAAGTCTGCTGCATGTTCTTTAAACATATTTGTGCAAGAGGGATTTCTTGAAAATTGCTTAAACCAAATATGATTGTTTCTTGCCTAAGGAATTGCTTTGCAGAACATACCTTTAGCACCTTTAGCAATATAGCTCTCCGTGAGAATTCAATCAAATGTGACAGCTACGTAAAAACTTCTGTTACTTTATTTGAATATGACACTTTTCCAGGTCCTTTCCACTCCTTTAACAAAATACATAGTCTTGAAAGTGTACATTCAAACAATAGTTTTTAGGTAGAAATCAAAGGATTTTACTTTTGTAATTAATTTTTTATGTGGGGGAATATTTTGTGTGCTTGTATGTCTATGCATGTTGTTGCCCAAGGAGGAGTTATATAAGGTTATGAGCTCCCACATAGGTGCTGGGAATGAACCCTGGTCATCTGAAAGAGGGTCTAGTTCCCTTAACTGCTGAGCCATCTCTCCAGCCCCTTCTATGAGTTTTATTAATGCTTGTTTGCAGTTGCTCATTCTTTCAAGGGTGTTTGTGATTTTGCTTTTAAATTGTACAGTATGTGTTAGTGAAAGTTCTTGGCTAAGATTTAGAAATACTTTTTGCATCAGTGTGTGAGGGGCTTGTTTTTCACTTTAATTATTGACGTAATACATTAGTTTGAAGGATTCTCATTGCTAACCATCCGTCTCCATTTGGCCCATCTGATAACATTGCTATTTAGCAAATAAACAAAAGCAAACAAAAGGCCAACCTCTTCTCTTCTTTGTGAGCTTGTTGTGTCACTTTGAAATAAGATAAGAAATCTCATATTTGACAAAGTGGCACAAGTTCATCTGATTGAACAACGGACTTCATGATTCCATTTTAGTTTCTAGAAAGTTTGGTTTTACTTTCTTATATACTTCTCAGGTTTTCTGAGGCTTGTGCAAAATGTCAAATGTCCCAGGAAAATACTCTTCATAGGCTCCAAGAAAGGTTGAAGAGTCATCGTTAATTGGCCATAATAAAAGAAATTATAGGCGTTTATTCCACTGACATTATCTAATGTGAATGGTCCAAAGTATAAAAACCAAAACAACTGAAAGACAAGTAATTAACCTTGCATTGTTAGAACAGGGGGGTTGTAGGATAATCTTATCACATTTTCTCAGTTCCTTATATTTTACCATTTTAAAAATTTTAGGAATTTCTATGGATTCGGGTAGAACAACAAAATAGTAGCTCATACCTTTCTTATTTTGCTTTTTGAACATTAATGCCAAACAGAAAAGAAATAAGTTTCTTTTTACTCCAGCCCTGAGAGCATGGGACTTCTTGATCCTGCGACCAGTGATGGGAGAGTTATTTTCTTCTTGCCTTGGGAGAATATGACTATTGCTGGCACTACTGACTCGCCAACAAAAATCACACACCATCCTATTCCTTCGGAAGAAGACATTAACTTCATCTTGAACGAAGTGCGGAACTACCTGAGCTGTGATGTCGAAGGTAACAAATATTCCTGCAGTGTTTCTTCCCTCTTTGTTATCTACCAGACTTTTCCAGGTCTCTCTTGCCTTCAGCTTCAAACATCACCACACCTTATATACTATAACGCTTAACTTTTTTCTCCCCTCCCCTCTCCTCCTCTCCCATCCCCTCTCCTTCTTTCTCCTCTCTTCCTCTCACCTCCCCTCTCCTCCTTTCTCTCCCCCCTCCTCCTTTCCCCTCCTCCTCCATCAATCACTAATTTTAAAAAATGTTCTACAGGCTTGCCTATAGCTCAGTCTTATGGGAGCAGTTTCTCATTTGAGATTCCCTTCTCTCAGATGACTCTAGCTTGTGTCAAGTTGACATAAAACCAGCTAGCACACCTAGATCACTATGCACCCCTCTTTCAATTTTATTTCTGGATATTGCCTAGTTTTATACCTGTGCCTTCCCCTACTCCCATCATTGTGTAGTTCAGGCATGCCTTGAACTCATAGCAATTCTCCTCTCCCAGTCTCGCTGTGGAGTTCTAGGAGTATGCTTTCAGGCCTGGCTCATTTGTGTCATTTCGTGCTTAGACAGATGGAAGTGACCCATAGTGACCCTTAAATGGCCTCTTTGTTTGTATCTAAACCCCCCCTTTCCATGTATTCTGTGGTCTAATGACTGTATAATTTATCCGTACCAAGTTAGGTCATATACATTTAAGCCCTTGTCCCTTTGTTTTAATGATGACTTCTTCTGAGCTGTCCTTTCTACCATTAACCACATCTTGGCATAAATATTTATATTTCAGAAGTCACCTGTCTTTTGGGGCAGTGGTCATACTGCTAGCATACCATGATCCTATGTTCCAGCACTAGTACAAGCTGCGTTCTTGAAGCTCCCCATGGGAAGGGTGTTCTCATCTACAAAACTTGTTAGCTAATTGACATTTTACTACTCATGATTGTTTTGAGCAAAAGTAAGTTAGTTAGCTATTGGTGGTTTCAGGGATATTATTTTACAATTTAATAAATAGTTCTCTTTGATTGCAGATATTACAGCAATGGTGGGTTTCCTGACTAGTTTGTAGTTTTCTGTAATGTTCAGTAGTTGATTGCATTAAATAGTTGTCAAATCAAAAGGGCCATGTTATATGTATCCATATTGCCAGGACTACTGGGGGGCTTGCTTTTCCCTCAGACCTTCCCTCCTTGTATTACAAGGGCCAAACTGGCCAGGTTCACTTTGGTGGCTATACCTGTGGTAATGGCACCTCAAGGTATATATAGTGTGCTTGAGTGAGTCTTTTTCACACTTAGTTTTGGGAGGGAAAAGGTATCTCGGCTCAGTATGCATTCCACAGGCTACGTTGAAACATAAGCATATTGACCCAATGAATTTTTCTTACTTAGTGTGTTTTCTGCTTTGTCAACAAAGCAGATTTTAGCGACCATCTTCTTCCATGCTGTGTATATGTGTGTGTCTTGTTTTATTTCTCTCCAGGACATGAGCAGAAGGACTTACCTCTTTCTCACCTTCTACACTTGTTAAGAGTAGGGTTACAGATGGCTCTAAGACTGTGGGACCAAAGCATAGAATGAATTCAAAAGTGGAGATGTGTATGGGCACTTTCTTAGGCCTTCTCATGTAAATGCAGTAAGGATTGTGTGGCCAGGCTGGATGTGCTAGAGACAGCGGTGGGTCCTGGAAAGCCACTGTGTACAGGATGAATGTGAAAATTTGCTCCTGATAGGAGCTCTGATGTGTAACAGAGGTGGTGGCACTTTCACTCTGCCAATAAATAGAAGACTTGGCCATTCCTGCTTGGTTTCTAGGGTCCTCTTCAAATCCCTTATCCTGTGGTTATCAGGAAAGAGAAATTAACAAAGACTACTTCTTAGTTCTAATGTTTACAAAAGTGGGTGAATACTACTGAGCAGCTTTTCTCTTGGTGGCGTGGGGTCCATCTTGATGAGACTATGTGTCCATTAGGTATAGTATCCAAGAGGTGACAGCTCTGTCAGCTGTGTGCAACTTAGCTGCTTAAATATTTCTTCATAGTTTCTTTGCATTCTCATTTCTAGCTGACTGAACTCTGAATATTTGAGGAATTCCACTTAGATTTGATAAAGAGGAGCAGTTAGCCAAAGCTCTTTGTATCTTACGGTGAAGACTTTCATAGTCGTGGGCTTTCTCTAGGTATTTGGTGGAATCCAGTAGCCTCCTATGTACTAATGAAATGTGAAAGAAGCAAGCATTGTCACTCTCCAGTCACTTTTTTAAATGTTTACCTCTTTGGCTGTCTTTCACAGCTCCAGGTCATTGAGTATTGTATGCTTTTAGAAACACTGCTAGTCAAGCATGCTGTCAGTATTTCCCTCATTGCTTCTGAGCGATGTGATTCCTGCAGTAGTTGAAGCTCAGAGACGGTGTCTTTTTTTTTTTTCCTCATAGGTTGGCAGTATTGGGCCATGATGAGTCTTAATTATATCTGGCTCTGATACGACCATCTAAACACTGTACAGTACTTTGGTTAGTGGTTCTGGATTATATACTCTGATACTGGGACAAGTACAGAGTGGATTAAGTTTCTTTGTTCATTTCAAGGAAACTGACAGAAACTTTTAGGATGGTGTGTTTGTGTGTGTGCACGTGCGCACGTGCGCACGCACATGCACACATGCGGTTGTGCACAAGTATGGACGGCAAAGGACCACTTGGTTAAGTTCGCTCTCCCTATTTCCCTTTCTGTGGGTTGCAGGGACCGGACTCAGATTCCCTGGTTTGCACAGCAATTGCCTTTATCCTCTGGACCATGTTGGTAGCCAAGAGCTACAGTTTTAAAATGTTTTGCATTCATTGAAGTTGATTTAATCACTTGAAAAGTTTTTAGTAAGTGGATAAGTAAGTTCCGATAACAGTTTCTGAGTCTCCTCAAATGGCTCTATCCTTAAGGGAGAGAGGGAGAAGAAAAGTGTCAAATCCCAACACTCGGGGCTGCTCACAGTGGCTGCTCACAGCAGCTGCTGCAGGATGCCTGGGAACACTTCTGCAGAGCATTTCGCCTGTGGGGAATGAGCCCATGTCTTCTTTTACAATTTAGAAAGCTTTCCATTCACAGGCTGAAATTTCTAGATTACTTGTTTGTTCTCTGTTGAAATGGGTAATTGATAGTTCTACAGTTGGTGTTGAGTTAGGAAGAAAAATGATCTTTTGAAAAATGTATCATTAAGTTACCGCGTGCAGAGGTTAATCAGAGGGATGGTGTGGTGGGGACCGAGCTACAACTGCAGTGGACTGTGAGAGACAGAAGACTGCTGGGTGCGCAGTGTTCAGGGTGCTTCTCCAGGCAGTCTCTGCACTTGCACATGGGCTTGCACATGTGCAATTAGTAGTGTTTATAGATTGCCTGTTATTCAATTAACAGCCGAGCTGGCCATATCAACTCACTGCAGACCTGCCTTTTCCCTGCCAGAGATTGTACTCGGGTTATCAACTTACACAGGCTTGGCTGTCTTCCAGCTGTTTAATTAGAGTGTCACGCGCCTTGCTTTTTCTAGTTTCATTAGTTTATAAATGTAATATGGTATCTTATTTCTGTGATTAACACTTCATTCCGGCAGGTTAAACATGGTGGTAGAGAGGTATTGATTTCTGACACTGTTTCCCTGTATTCATTTAGATATTTTCACATGGTTCTTTCCGATGTTTTTGAAAGTGGCAAGCATGAGAAAAAAACACCCCGAAATGCACACCTAAATAACGAATGCCATATAGAATCACATGTTTAGGCTTAATTGTCACTCCCTGTGGCCTTCATTTTCCACTAATTTTAAAACAAACACTTGTCTTGCCAAGGATATAAAAGGAAAAGATTAATTATAATCTGCAACAGTCACATTGAGTTGTTTTTTCAAAGACTGTGATAAGTTCTGATCACCTTTACTATTTCTATTTTATTCTTCAGATTGTAAACTGCACCAAGTGATTTATTGAAGACATACTAGAAATGAATTTACTAGGGTTTCACTATGTAGCACTGACTGTCCTGGAACTTGCATATAGACCAGGCTGATTTCCATTTCAGAGACCTGCCTGCTTCTGTCTCCTGAGTGTTGGGTTTAAAAGAGTACACCACTGCTCCCAGTTATTTATTCATTATATTTTGGCTAGAGTCTCATTTTGTAGCTCAGGCTAGCCTTGAACTCAAAGTCGTTCTGTCTCAACCTCCCAAGTACAGGGTTTCTATTCTTGAGACACCACTCTAGGCTGCTCAGAACCATTCAGTATTCCAAAAAATATAACTATACATGGCCTTTCACTTGGCACAACATTTAGAATGCTGAGAGGTCTTAGAATTTCCACTGCTAACGACAAGTAAGAGACAAAAGAGTTAATGGAGTCTTGCTTTTAGCAGTGTGAGGGGGGTGAGGCTCAGTTCCAAGACACAAAAGCACCAATTTGCTATTTTTCCACAGATTTTCCTGTGAACACTAAGTAGTTTGTGGTCACTACCTAATCTGGGCTACAAATGTGTATAATAGTATGAGTTTCAGAATTATAATTTGAGAGAAAGTGTCTTAGAGTTTCTGTTGCTGTATAGAGACACCAGTGTTTTGTCTGGGTAGCTCTGGCTGTCCTGGAACTGTCTCTGTTGACTAGGCTGGTCTGAAACTCATAGAGACTCATCTGCCACTTCCTCCCAAGGGCTGGGATTAAAGGTGTGCACCACCGCTGCTCTGCTCAAAAGTAAACATTCAATTGGGACTTGCTTACAGTTTCAGAGGTTTAGTCCATTATCGTCATGGTGGTTGGCATGCAGGCAGGCAGATGTGACACTGGAGAAGGACGCTGAGAGTTCTACATCTTGATCCACTGGGAGCAGAAGCAACTGAGTGTCACACTGACCACGGCTTGAGCAAAGCCACACCTCCTAATAGTGCCCCTTTCTTTGGGGACCATTTTATTTCAAACCACCATAGAGTTGCGTATAAATATTTTTCATTTCTGATTTCATGAGGTTAGTAAGAAAGGGGGATTGTTTTGATTGAAAACTAAGGATCATGAAGGCTAGTAGCATTAGGTGTGAAAGCACATTTTTTTTTGAGCAAAGCAAGCTACTCAAATGTCAGTGGGTGGCTGTGCTTTAGAGATGAGGGCAAGGTGGTCATGATATGTATGACTAGCCATCTTGGTGATCTAATGGGATCAGCCTGCCTGTGTTCTAGGGAGCTTTTAGGGACATGTATATTAAGCTATTTAGGTTAAATGCAATTTCATTTCTTCGGTTGTCTAAATCACATTTCCAAGGGTTAGTTGCTGCCTGCTGCTACAGTTGGCTAGTGCATTGGACAGCGCCAATAGTAGACTTTCCCCACACTGCAAAAGCAGTCTGTGGAACTGTCCTGCTCATAGGAGTCTAGATTATTTAAATATTATAGAGAAGGAAATGCTCAGTTTAATGGAGTTACTGAATTGAGGGAGGAGTTTACAACTCATAAAGCAGGAATTCAGATATAAGAAGGCCGAAGAAGGCTTCCCTCCTGGTTATAGCATGGCTACAAAGTTTAGGGAAAATGAGAAGACAAGATGGTGACTTGTTATCCCTACTGTTCGTCATCTCCTTCTTGGGTAAACTTTAATTTGGGTTTGTTTCACAACTGTACAAGGTTTACATGCTGGTTAAATAGATCATCAAGGGAGAAGTCTGTCAGCCTCAGTTGCCATTTCATTTCCTTGAAAGTTAGAATTAATGTTTCTATGTTTGGTTGTTCTGTTCTCCCTGGACAGAGCATACAGCTGCAGCTGTGGGCTTGAGCCATTATTGCTGAGTCTGAGTGGTAGTGGGCTATAGACTACAAACTTTTTGAGCAAATAACATTTTGAGTAATGCATAGAAATCATTGTGTGAAGTATGGGAGGCTGTGGGCAGATAGAGGATAGGTAGGTAAGTAGGTGGGTAGGTAGGTAAATAAGTAGATAGTGGATAGATAGACAGATAGACAGACAGACAGATACATAGAAGACTTGACCTTCCTCTGGCTTAGTAATGTGAAAGTCCTATAGACCATACAGAATACTTCATATTTTAAGTAAAATTTTATTATCCTTAAAATGTATCATTCTGAATAATTTATTTTCAATATCCATTTGATAAATTTTCCTTGTTTTTTTAATCTATATTATCTCCTTTTTTTGCTTTGATTGTATTTTTTGAGAATTTTATACATGAGTATAATAGGTTGCATTATTCCACACCATTGCCCCTTGAATGCCTGTGTACCTCACCCATCCCCTCTCAAAATGATGGCATGTGAGGGATAAAAGTTTCAAGCTAATTCATCCATGATGTACAAACAGTGTGGCTACCTAAACAAGACCTGAGGAGAAACAAAACCAACAGGCATGCTAAAGTGGGAGGGAAAAATCTTACAGGGCTCTATCCCTAGACAAAGATCTACAGGAACCTAAGCAATGCTGAGAATGGGAGATTTAGTCTTCCCCAGGGATGAGCCTCCTAACTGGTTACCTAATAACAGGTAGTGAGTCATAAAAATCATACGCACACGAGCAAATACTAAGTGGACTCAGCAGGGTGTGTATGTGTGTGTGTGTGTGTGTGTGTGTGTGTGTGTGTGTGTGTGTAACAATTACAATTAAAGAAAGAGAACCTTTGGATTTGAGAGGGGGTGGGGGCATGGGAAGGGATGCAGGGAGGAAAGAAAAGAGGAAATGATGTAATTATATTTTAACTAACAAAATAAAAATAATTAAAATAATTTCAAGCTAAAAAACACAAATGCTAAGATACCAAGTGTAAAGAACTCTCCTGGCTGTGAACTCTTTCCAAGGACCAGTCCCAGGAGTAAGGATGGAGATGAGACTAGTCTGTTCACTGTTTTACTCCACGATCCTTCATGAGTGAACTCCTTGAGGACAGTACAATTTTGGATATGTGTTGTTTGTTGTCCATTAGAGTGAAAAAGGTAAAGTCTTGGCCACTTTGCATATGCTTCACATTTATTCTGGAAACTCTTAACTTTCCCGAAAATGCTTCAGAAATTAGTCGTGGTGCTTCAAGATTTTAAACCAGATTCCTGATCAGTGTGGCGACCAAAGGAATTCCACAGACATGGGAGGGACTGTACACTGACCACAGTGACAGTGGAGGGAGGGGCTATGCACTGACCACAGACATTGGAGGTGGGTTGGTTGCTTTATTTTTGACTCTGAGGACTGTGTAAACTCTAATGGAAATGGTGGTAATTCTCCTCTTAGGTATTTTATAAAGGTTAAAGCACTTCATACTATGTATGCTGAAAAATTTTAAGACTTATAGAACTCTGTGAAGGTGGGTCACCCCTATGCCACAGAAATCTCAGGATCATATCTATTCAAGAAAATACATGTCTGAGAGAGGCTGAAGTGATAATCAGAGAGGGGCATGGGTGACCTATACCATCTGCATATGGTTGTATAGCTTGTGGGACTCCTACCAGTGGGGGTGCTTTTTTTTTTTGCCAGCCTTGGGAACCCTTTTCCTCCTACTAGGTTGCCTTGTTCAGCCTGCTCTTTTGTGAAGGGAAACAGAGGAGTGGATCTGGGGAAGAGGCGAGATGGGCGGGGGACTTGGAGGAGAGGAGGGAGGGGAAACTGTAGTAGGGACGTAATATATGAGAGAAGAATAATTAAAATAAAAAAAAGGACTCTGGGGCCAGAGTACTAGCAAAAGGTCTCATGAGACCTGTTGTTGACCAGACTGAAGCAGAAGTCTTCCACAGTAGCTCATTATGTTCTTGCTTCCCTTGCTGCAGTATAACTCTTGGATGTACATCCCCTCTTTCAGATTATAGTAATTTTAAGACTAGCCCTTAATCAACTCCATTAAAATATGGTAGGTTTACTTTAGTTGAATTAATCTTTACCAGAAAGCTAATTTGCATCTGAAGCAGGATCTACATAGCTGCTGTTGGCCTGAAATTTAATATATAGTCTAGGCCGACCTCTAAATTGTGGTAATCCTCTTGCCTTAGTTTCCTGAGTAAGGAATACAGGTGTTCCTGCCCTGATGGTAGTCACCACTGACTAGTAAGTATCCCTCACTCATTGTTAGATCAATAACAAATGCTTTTTATATGAATTCTTGGTATCAGTAATAGTAATTTTCCAGAGATAAGGAAGACTAATTTTATAGCATCTTGAATATTGAGAGAGCTTTCATACCTTTCAAGTATTACATAGCTACTGGGAGGAGCCAGTATGCCCATCTCTGCATCAGTTACAGAGGTTAGGGTTGAGAAAAGAATAGAGAATAGAAATTGTCAGCAGTTGAGGGACACCTCAGTTTGAGGAATAAAGCCAGAAAGAACCAAGTTTGATGCTGGAACATCATAAGAAGATGTTTGTCTGGGACAAGCTAGTTACTCGTGATAGTTGGTTAAGGAGAATCCCCTGTGCTTTGGGGATCTGTAAGGTGAAATTAGAGGACTAGAACTAGTAACTGTCTTTCACAGAGTTGGGCCTGCTACAGCCGTTCATGAGTGAGTGCATTGCAGAGAGAACACATCAGGCTGCAGGGTTCCATAATGAAGATCTTGGTAATTCCTGAGGAGAGAGCCAGGTTTCTTCTAGAAGGAAATGTAACATTTTATGAATGTCTTACTTTCTATTGATGGTAATCTTTTTTTCCCCATTGAGGTTGGTGACACCAGCTTCTGCGGCTTATTCTTTGCCACCTTTGTTTGTGATCTTCAGGTCCTTTGCTCCCTCAAGCAAATTATCTTTGTGTCTCAGAATTCCTTCCCTCATAATTAGTTGTTGCACTTCACGTTACTTTCTCTGATCTCACCTGTGGCTCTAAACTCCTGCTGGGTGCTTTCCTGTGCATTCATACTTTGGTTGAAATATTTTTTTATTTTTACCAGTGAGAAGAGGGGATGTCCTAGCAGCATGGAGCGGTATTCGTCCCCTTGTTATCGACCCCAAGTCTGCAGACACTCAGTCTATCTCCCGAAATCATGTTGTTGATGTCAGTGAGAGTGGCCTCATCACAATAGCAGGTATAGTGGGATGGGCAGCGGCTCATTCATTGGGTTGTCCCCTTTTACTATAATGAACAAGTGTTTTGCTTTTATGATTTCTGGTAGAACCTCTTTTGCCAAATCTCCTGCCAAGAGGTGACTGTTGTTATTCTTGGTAAATGGTTAATTATAAAGAAAATTCAGACTGCCGACTTAATAGCTTAACAATTTCTTTGAGGTGGGAAGTGGACGACGTATCGCTCTATGGCAGAAGACACAGTGGACACAGCTATCAAGGTTCACAACTTGAAAGCAGGACCGTGTAGGACAGTGGGGCTGTTCCTTCAAGGAGGCAAAGATTGGAGCCCCACACTCTACATCAGGCTTGTCCAGGACTACGGGCTTGAGAGCGAGGTTCGTGTGCATTGCTCCACTACCTTGCTTTGATGTTCTCGAGATCACATTAAGCAGCCATGGTGTGGCCTCTCTGATTTAGAGTGACCTTTTTCCATCCTTAGTACCCTTGTGTGTGCAAATGAACACAGGAAAAGATGGTTCAACTTTATTATAGTTGCCTAAAAAGAGGGACATGTTTGGTTTCTCTTTGAAATCTGCAACGTGTTTGGTTTGTTTCTAGCAAACAAATTCCCCCAACCTCTTTGCACTGTGAGTGTAAGAAGGGCTGTTCTTCAGAAGGGCCAAAGCGAAGCTGAAACTTCATCCGTCACTGATCTGGTACTGCAGGAGTGCTGAGTCAGCGCTGGCCTAAGCATTCTAAGCCCAAGTGCTTTCCTCCCACAAAGTCCCGACCCAGTACTCCCTTAGGACTGACTGTTAGTTACAGGCTGTGAGAAAACTGACAGCATAAGAATGTAGTGCCGTTTTGTTTCACACCTTAAAGGAATGACACCCAGAGTATGACACCCAGAATACCTGTCTAATGCAGTTTTATTTCTGTAGGTGGCACAGCATCTTGCCACCACCTATGGTGACAAGGCTTTCGAGGTGGCCAAAATGGCAAAAGTGACTGGAAAACGGTGGCCTATTGTTGGAGTGCGTCTTGTGTCAGAGTTTCCGTACATCGAAGCAGAGGTGTGTGGTGGTCACAGGAACGTCCCGTCTGCCTGTTCTTTGCCGTTCGTCTCTTCATCCTACTTTTAACATCGTATTCTGCTAAGTGTTAAAGCACACAGGACTGGAGTCGAGTTTCCCGCTGTCACAAATGTGATGTTGACAGTGATAATAGTACGAGTGTGGATTCCAGAGTTTGTTCAGAGAACCACAAGTCTGTAAAAATTTGGTTGCGTGTCCCGGAATTTGTAGTTCTTTGTGTTGATATCCCTTCCATCTTGACTGGCTCCTCGTCCTCCTGCTTTGACAATTTCTCAGAAATTTGTCTTATTTATCAGCTTGCTTTCTGATACAATGGAACCAGAGACCATGCTCTGTATATTTGGAATTCATTGTGCCTTAAATCATGGTGTCCAGTAAACTCCACTTGTTGGTCTCTAAGGCAGAAAACTTTACAGGCTAAGGAGTGGAAGCTGACTTTTCTGTCCTCATCCTTTACACACTCCGTCATGTAAATGAAGGCTTCCATTGAGCATTAGCAAAGAGAAGTGATTCCTGTGGATGGTGAGAGGTGAGGCTGTTTCCATATCAGTGCCTCTTTCTACCTGGGAGAAAGGCATTCGCTCTCACCCAACTCACTCCACTTTCCAGCCCACTATGGTAGGCAGACAGGGGCCTGTGCTGTGCCACAAGGGTGCCTGTGTCTGAGGGAGAGTCAGAGCAGCCGGAGAAAAATAGCAGCTTTCCTCCAAGCAGTTTTTAAAATGTAAAACCTTGCTATTTTAAAGGTAAGAGTCAAACTAGCAATTTTTCTTTAATTTAGGTGAAATATGGAATTAAGGAATATGCCTGCACCGCAGTTGACATGATTTCACGTCGCACCCGCCTGGCCTTTCTCAATGTCCAGGCTGCAGAAGAAGCCCTGCCCAGGATTGTTGAATTAATGGGCAGAGAACTGGACTGGAGTGAAATTAGGAAACAGGTATTGTATAAAAGCCTTTATAACCACAGTTCCATTTACAAATGAGTAACAGTTTGGTCTGTTTGGAAAGGCTTGCATAACTTTTGATGATAGTTTTAGGTTTCCTGCTCACTGCTGTATTATACATATCTAATATTGCTAGGTCTTAAGAAAATGTAAAAATAGTCTTTGATAATTTCACTGTTAGAGAAATCTAGAGAATGCTTTTTAATTCCTGGTCATAATTCCTGGGAAAGAGAGATACAAACAGTGGTTGGGTGCAGCCCTTTCTCGGTCTCATTGAGGATACTCTTAGAACATGATCACTGGAGTTTCTGCTCTTGGTAATCCTTTGATAAAAATAGTGGTTTATCTGCCTGACCACCAAAACCTTATTATTTGATGTATCACTTAATATTTTAAAAGAGGAGAGATCTTTACAATATGAAGAAAAACTAAAGTATCATTTGATGTCTTATATTCATTACCAAATTAAAAAATAATTCATTCCAGTGATGCTTAGATATGCATGAGGGCATAAAAACACACACATATACACACATACATACATACATATCCCCCCTCACACACACACTTGTGGTAATACACAGAAAACCATCATCATCCTCTTCTTCCTTCTCCTAATTAAGTCAAACTATTTACATGTGCAGAGGGATACACATTATTTTCAAACACTGAAAAAATTATCTTCTTCATTTACTGGGTCCTGTTCTTTTCTTTAACTAAATCTATGACGCTTTTGGTGATATGTGCCTGATTAATCCTGGACAAACTCACCAAGGATGTCCACACTGAATGACGCAATACACGTGCCAGCTCTCAGTGCTCACTGTATTTGGCCAGGTAGTTACTAGCATTTGTCACAGTTGATTCAACTCTCCCTCTTGAATTGTTTGTTGGGAGAGAGTTTGCAATGTGGTCCAGGCTGACTTTGAGGCTTTCATCCTGCTTTTACCTCTGAGGTTTTGGGATAGTAGGTATTTCTATAATGCCTGGCTTGAACTACTTTTCTATACTCAGGAGGAATATTTCTTTTGAGTCACTTTGTAGCTCCTTCAAGTACTGTCCCTCAATTGCTCAGGTCTCAATTTTAGCATCGTACTTTGTATGTTCACTCATATCCCATCTAAAGCCCCTCAGACAATCTTACCATAATCATCTTCAACTCACCCTTTCTCTCTCTCTCTCTCTCTCTCTCTCTCTCTCTCTCTCTCTCTCTCTCTCTCTCTCTCTCTCTCTCTCTTTCTATCAAAGTCTGTCATATCATTTGGAGCAGGGCCTAGGCCCTTCCCCATGTGTCTAAGCTGAGAGAGTATCCCTCTATGTGTACTGGGCTCCCAAAGTCCATTTGTGTACTAGGAATAAAAACTGATCTACTACCAGAGACCCCATAGATTAACCAGGGGGTCTAGAACAGTCCTATGCGGGTTTCCCAGCTATCCGTTTAGGTTCCATGAGCTCCCCCTTGTTCAGGTCAGCTGTTTCTGGAGTCTCACCCTTTCTTACTGCATTCATTATTGTCACCTTGATGTAGGTGTGTCTCATGATCATTGTACTGGCTTCTCTCTAAGTAAGCCAGTGTTCCCATCTTAACAACTTTGGGGATATTATGAGAATATAACCCAGACTTACCATTGGATATGTCCAAAGGTCTTAGCTGAATGTACATTTTTAAATTGACTTGATATATTAGATATGTTTTGATATAATTAGATACAATCATGAAAGGACTGGTAGGCGAGGGGAGTGGCTCTGAGATTAGCCTAGAAACACTTCAAAGTATAGAAACTGGAGTAATAAGAAAGGATATAGGACAGTTAGAAAGGGAGCTGTGACTCAGACAGCAGCAGTATGTTAGGACTACTGTGACAGAAATGCTGCCAGCAGGTGCTTCAAATGGCAAACATTTATTTCTCAAATTCATTTCTTCACTTTCTTACATGAAGCTCAAGGTCAAGGCACTGCAGGTCTAATGACTTTTTATGGTTCATGGTCAGAAGGCTCCTTGGCATATTCACATGTGTATTGAATGAGCATTATTGAGCATCTTGTCATATGCTGATGGTGCAGAAAGAATTTGGGCATGTAGCCTAACCTTCAAGTGTTCATAGTATGATGTAGATTCCTAAATGTGGAATTCCTGGGAATGTGGGTGAAAGAGTAGGTTTAGAAGAATAGGTGTATCGCATTCTTCAAAGGCATAGTGGCCCCATGTCTTTAAAATTCTACTGTACTGGCTATAATGTCATGTTCTGAAGTGAATTGATGGTAGAAATCTCAGGTTGGTGTCTCTATGTCCTCATCACGTCTGTGTGAAGGGTAGCCTTCCTTGTCTTTTGACTGCTGATACAGTCTCCACTGGATAGCCTGGGCTGGTCTCGGACTCATGATTCTACTGCCTCAGTCTCTAAGACTGAGGCATGTCATGCCCCGCTGCAAAGGGGTGGCCTTCACCCTAATTTTATAGTTGAGGAGGCAGACCCAGTTTCCGTAAGCAGTAAATTATAGAGGCGGGTTCAAAGTCTGTCCCCCGATCCCTTCTCGCTGCCTCTGTACTGGCTTATAACTTTTCCTGTTTTTGAATCTTAGCTCTTCATGGACACAACAGAAGAATGTCACTGCTTATTGTTTTTTTTCTGTTTAGAAAATTGGGGATATGTTCTTAAAAATTTACAGTTGGAATGATTAGATACGAGTATATTTTGTGCTAGGAGGTAGGAAAGAGAAAGTTCTAAAAGCCAGTTGTACTTAACATTTACAGGTAAACGGAGATTTGACTTTATTCCAAACTTTAAGTAGACAGACATTCTTAGGAACACTCCTAATCTCCTTTAAGTAACAAAAACTAAACAACTAAAGATGATATTATTCCGTTTCTGAGGCATAGGGTCTTAATGAGAATAGTGGACAGACTGGAGAACACATAAGAGATGTAAGAAAAGAATTAAAAGGTTAGAAAGTTGTACTTCTGAGAAAAGGTTAAAAGCATTGGGATTATTTAACCTGCAAAAGCGAAATAGGAACAGGGTGATAAATAACTCTGCATAGATGAATTGTGTTGTTTCTACGGTCAATACCTAATGAGTGACCCGTATACTGAACGTGGTGCCAAATAGTTTAGGGGAATAATAAATAGCTCATAGTCTCAAGGACCTTGAACTCGAGCTGGGTGGATACAACACATGTGTGTATCAGAAATGCACGTACATTTTCAAAACTTACAGGTATACTTACAGACGTCGTGTTTTGAGACTGAGAGTCAACTAACATGGAAGAATAGATCAGGCAGGACAGCCCTGACTGAGTTTGTCGAGTGACGTAGGACCAGGAAAGGACATGAAGAGAAGTGTCATCGCCGAACTGTGCACTCCTGGATGTGAATTAATTAATGTGTGTGAGAAGATGCCTACATGGTCAAGCAGAGGAGATTTTGCATTATATACGTAAAAGAAATTTTAGTTGAGATGATTTGGAACTTTTGAAATGCTGTGTGTTTTGTCAGCTCCAATAGAGAAACTTTCTTGGTGATCTCAGACTAAACATGCTTTTGGGCAGGGCTGAGCATGAAAAGGCATACGCCTCACTCAGAACGCATTTAGGAAATGCTGTCTGGAGAGAAAGGCAGATATTGTGATTTTCATGTAAGGTATAGTTTTATTTTCACCGTGAGAATTTAAGTTTCAAATTTAAAATGGATAGACAACATCGTCAAATAGGAGGTGACTCTCCATAAATTTTATTCCAGTCTGGGAATGCAATGCCAATTTCAAAAAGCAGAAAGCAAAATATGTCTTTGTGATCTAGGAAGGGTCTTCTTATTGCTCGTAACTGATTTCCTAAATTATGTTTGTTAATTTTATTGTGTTCATTAAGTTTACTATTGCTTAGCGAGAAGTGCGTGCTATGGGAGGTTAATAAAGGGTTACTGGGGAAAAATGTTATTTTCATGTTAGAGTAAGGATTATCAGATCAGGAAAATGCTATAGAGGCGATAAATAGGCATTCTGTAAAGTAGCTCATACATGAATCTTTGTGGAACTAGTAGTTTTGTAACTAACTCAACCAGTTTTGACCTGAGGAGGACTATGATAGCATGTTGTAAGCACTCTGTCCCTGTTGCTTCTAGCATTTACATTCCAGTGCTGATGCTATGTTTCTTTAGTGTGCCAATAAGCAGAGGATTTAGTGACTATTTGATGACAAAATGAAACAATAACCAAAAGTATACTAGGAATGTTTCTGTAGAAACAAATGGTAAACCTTGTACTAGGTTAGGCTAACTTTACTTATTCAAGCTAGGTTTGACGGTACTCAACGTCTAGGACACATGAAACAGAAGAGTGGCTTTAGTTGACTGTGACTGCCAGTAGACCATGAATGTCCCCTACTCTAATGTATTCTTTAGTTGTGTTAATGTAGGTCATGTAACTAGAGAGATGGAATGGATTGCTGCTCCCGTCTGGGTACTTGCCATGTCTCTGTAGGACAGTTGGGTTATATGGCAGAAATTGTGGTCTGGAAGAAAACATCCAGCATGGCATAGGGCTTCGGAGTCATGCTTCTGCTGAAGCTCGTAGCTAACAAATCTCTAAGCAGTAAAGTTCTTGATACTGCTTTCAGAATGTAACCTACGCTACAGAAACATATTAGGTTGGTTCTAGTATAGCAAAGTCTTGGTCATCCCCATGCAAGTTGGAAGAGTTGAAAGGAGTTTTAGTAGGCACACAGTCTTTTCATGAGCCACTTTTAGTAAAATCATATCCCAAGTTGTAGTGTGATTTAGACAGCTGTCTTGGCTTCTGTTTGTGTAGTCTGTCATGGAAACATGAAGTTAGGAAGCTACATTGTGACCTGGATGGAAAGATTTCATTGTTCTTTGAAGTATCATGATTATTTGGCCAAGTGTGATAAACTTCACTAGCAGTAAAGGAATATAAACTGAGTAAGAGATTGTCTTGGAGGGAAGGCTCAGAGACAGCATGTCCCAGAACATGAATTTCGGAACAGTTTGTATCAAGTGGCTGGAAACAATTGATCAAACCAGAAAATCCGTTTTAAAACCATGGCTGGTGAATTTTCTTGTGTGAAGAGAGATGCCTGCCAGTGTAGAATGCCACTGGAGACAGAGACTTATGTTTTCCCTAAGCACACAGGTGTTGATGTTGATACATTTGTAGTTTTTACATTCGGCATTATGCAGTATTCATAATGTTTTATTTCTTTTGTTGCATTTATTTCTGAAGAGAGAGGAGTTAGAAAGGAATCATCTCAGAAACAGTTTGTCTTCCTAAGCAAACAGAGCACCAAGCCTTGTTGCTGCCATTGCTTGCACAGTGGTTTAGCTTCCTGTGCCTCACTTCATGGGCATTTCCGTTTCACATTCGGAATTTGGGGCCTGCTGAGTTTGTAACATTTTTTGGTGTTAAGTTCGGAATTTAAGATATACATTTGCTTTTTTTTTTTTAGGTGATAGATAGTGAATGATAGTGATAGTGGCTTAAGCTGTAGAGATGACGCCTCTCTTAAGAGGGCTTGCAGCCCTTGCAGAAAACTCCCACACCCGCACTGGGCAGCTCACATTTTTGTAACTCCAGCTCCAGGGAACCTGATGTCCTCTTCTGGACACCATGGGTACTCCACACATGCACATATCCCCCCACAGATAGGCATAATTAAAATATAATGAAAATAAATCTTAAAATCCATTTCAGAGTCTGGGCGTTGGTGGCGCATGCCTTTAATCCCAGCACTTGGGAGGCAGAGGCAGGAGGATCTCTGTGAGTTCCAGATCAATCTGGTCCACAGAGTGAGTGCCAGGACAGCCTCCAAAACAATACAGAGAAACCCTGTCTGGAAAAACCAAAAAAAAAAAAAAAATCCATTTCAATGGGGGCGGGGAGGGAGAGGGAGCTGGGATTGACATGCAAAGCAAGCTTGTTTCTAATTTAGATTTAAAAAAAATCCATCTCAGTGGCTCAAACAGCCCTCAGTTCATTTGTTTTTGTGACATGTTCTGTCGATATAGCCCTTGCTATACTGGAACTCCATATGTAGACCAAGATTCCTTCAAACTCACAAGAGATTTGCCTGTCTCTGCCCTGTCTAACACTGGGGTCAACGGCTTGTGCCACTATATCCAGCCCAGCCTTCATTTGATGTCTCCCAGTCCTGTCTAGATTGGCTTGTGTCTGTGTAAGCCATGTTATTCTCAGGGAACAGAAACAACACAGACAAAGAAAATTAGGAGGTCTCTTTATAAGCTATTGCTCAAAAGTGGAATATCTTATATCCACTCATGTTCTACTGGCCAAAGTAAATCACATGACTGAAGCTCATAAAAGTGGGATTAAGAAATATATGCACAGGGGAGATTGTGTGTGCGTGTGTGTGTGCGCGCGCGCGTGCACGCATCTCTCTCTGTGCATTTATACATGTGAGAAAAGAGATCTGCAAACAGCATACACTATAATACAAATAGTCACCTGAGGTAATTAGATGGGCATGTGGCAAAATGGAAGCTAAGGCCAGGGCTGGTGCAGTGGTGGAGGACAGCCAGCTTCATGATGACTCTGTGACTGTCAGAGCCCCTGACAGTTGGTCACAGGCACTGCAAGCCATGATAGAATAGATATTCAAGTCCTATATATTTTACTCTTATTTGCTTTTCGTGTCATCAAACTTTTAGGAATTTGTAGAATTTGTTAGTCAATAGCATGCAAGAGTACACTCTAGTAAAAAAAAAAAAACAGCAGTATTACAACACGTAGAATAGGAATCCTTACATTGTGGGAAAACAGTCAAGCACAGGGTGCGACATGCTCTGTGACATTTTAGAGAAGATGAACTGAGTCCAAGGCCCACCAGATGGTCCCTGGAAACAGCGGTCCAGGGAGAATCGGCAAATGCAGGTGGGCATGCGGGGTGTGTTAGGTTACAGCAACGTTCTGTACGTGAGCATATGAGACTGTCTTAAGTGGCCCAACTAGGAGTGGTAATACTACACTAAAACTGGATGCTGGTTCAGTGAGAACCAGTTTCTGGTGATAAAAGAGAAAGAGGGAAATATCAGTAGCCCCTGTGAACTTTGTGTGAACTTTGTGTTTGTGTCTTTTCTTTTTTCAGGCAGAACTTGAGACGGCCACAAAGTTTCTGTATTATGAAATGGGCTCTAAATCTCGCTCAGAACAACTCACAGACCGTACTGAAATCAGCCTGAGACCTTCAGACATTGAAAGGTACTTCTCGTCCCTCCTCCTTCTCCACCTCTGTACCTTCAACACCCTTGTCCTCTTTCTCCTCCCTCTTTTATGGAAGTCTGTTTGCCAGGATTCAATTTTGTGTTGCAGGTACACGAAGAGATTTCATAAGTTTGATGCAGATGAGAAGGGCTTTATTACCATTGTTGATGTTCAGCGTGTACTAGAGGTAATACAATTTTATTTTTATTTTTGTTTTTTTGTTTGTTTGTTTTTTCATTATCAGCTTCAGGTGTAGAAGGATATAAAGGTAGTATTTATTAGCATTTTTCAAAGTCATATTTTCAAACTTTTGGACAGTTAGTCTTTACATTAGAAGGTTACATGTTATACTTTTAGCTAAATCCCACTCCTCTGTGCTCTTCCGTCTAGAATATCAATGTGAAAATAGATGAAAACACACTACATGAAATTCTCAGCGAAGTAGATTTGAACAAAAATGGACAAGTTGAACTCAATGAATTTCTGCAGGTGAGTTGTGATGGGACAGATGTATTTGTGTTTGCTTTTGCTTGTCACCATCCTAAGAATGGGATTCTTAAAACTACTCATTAGTCACTTCATTCTGAAAATGTAGCTTGAGCCACAAGCAGTCGATTTGTCTGCAGTCGAGGACGAGGCTCTGTTTGTGCCTGTTCGTTTTCCTTCTCTTTATAAGAGGTATCTGTTTTATTGACTAATTTAGATCAAATCCAAGTTAATTGTGGCTTACAGAACTGCCCAAGAAGTGTTCTTTTTAAAGCACAATGTCTTAGAATATGATTGCTAGACTACTGGTACACTGAGAGGCAACGTAATATTTCTAGTATGGAAAGTCATTGTTATTTTTTAATGGGAGAAATTATCACCTATGGTTTTATTCATTGAAAAAATCATGTTCATTTAAGGATATATGTATTCAATTCTTACATTTTAAAGAACCAGAAAGCAAATGAGAAGAAACTTCTACTCTGCGGTCAAGATGGTGAATTTAGACATGTCCATTTCTGTGACCAAAGTTTCAATTGTTCAATCATTGTAATTGGGAAGGAAATACATTTTGTTACTGTCACTTCACACTAGATGCTCTGCATTATCTCTTACTAGTTCTGTAAAGGAAAGAAGTTCAATACTTTACCCCTAGCTGTCCATAGGACCCTGATCATTTGAAGAATGCTTTGCTTTCTAGGCAGCCAGGTTGTTTTCTGTAGTGTTTCTTGGGCAGGTCTTTCAAATGAATGCCAGGTCTTGCTTGCACCATGGCAATGATGAATGCTGAACATGAAATAAATTAATGCTGGGATTTTGGTCAATGTCAGCCCTTTCTTCACTGTGTCAAGTTAAACAAACAAGATCAAGGCAAAGGAAATGGTAATTGTCTCTCTAGAGATGAGCTGCAGATAAGAGCATTGTTGAATCTAAATGCAGAAAAAAATTCACAGGTTGTGTCCAGCATTACAAAAAGAATGCTTAGTTCTTTAACTAACTCTTTCACTAAGTGCAGATTTTAAATTGAATTTGAGATTTCTGGTTAGGAATTAGAAAACACCTAGTGCCTCTTTTTGTATAGTTTTTCTGGAGACTTTTTATTGTCTCAGAATTTTAGAAAAACTCTTCTTCAAAGAAAGAGCTTATACTTCCTTTCTTGTGTCTTGTAAATAAGCAACAGCATTTAGACTTGAAAAACCCAGAGTTTTAGAAACAATAAGAATCTAATTTAATGGATTTAATGTGTGGCTTGGGTCTTAAATTATTTTCTTGAGTGTAGTAGAGCTAAACACATAGAAAATAATTTAAACCACCTGCAGGTTTTCTTGTAGAGTTTTTGAATCATTGAGTATTTCCTGACCAGTTCTAAATGAAAGCGACCATTCATGCCTTCAGTAAGTAAACAGCATAACTTCCAAGTAATAAAACAGTGACTACGCTTCTCATGAAATCTAGTCACATCTAGATATTATTTTTTCTTGCAGTATGCTTTTCAGATGCATGTAATACTTAGTAAAAAGCTTTTAGTTTGTTGAGGTTGGTACAAAAAACACTACTGCTGGCTGAGAGAGATGTTCATCTCTGACAGTTGTTACCTTTGATAAATTCCAAGTTCTCCCAGAATCAGAAAATGATAAACAGAAAGTTGTTTTGTCTTTAGATGTCAGCATTCTTCAGGTAAAATTTTTCTCAGATGTAAAATGTTTTCCACATTTGATTGCTTGATAAAATGTTGTCATTTCCTGAATATTAAGAGACCACATTTATCCTGTTAAGGCTCTGCTTTTGGATATGGGTGTGCATTTTCAGTCATCATATAGGAGAATCACTATGGAGACTGACTGGCTTTGTTTCCGGTCAGGGCTTCATGACACATGCGCATGTAGGAGTCGGTCTCTCATAAGCAGTCACTTGTGAAGTAGCTTTTAATTAGGTGAGGAGATTCAGATCCAGCTTCTGGGCAGATGCCCAGGACTCCCATGTGGAGCACGTTTTTCAAAATGTACCTCTATAGTACATTTTAACTATTTTCATACATATCTTTTTAAATATAACTAACTCTAGTGTTTTTTTTAAAATAGAAATTACATTAAGAAAAGCAATAGTTCCACATTGATGTGACGGAGGGAGGCGAGCCTTATACTGAGAACTGCCGGGTACTTTCTAGAAGAAAGGCCTTTGGCTACTCTCTGCATGTAGTTTTAGAGCTAATTCTGATTTTATCCATTGGATTAAAATGAATTAGCTAAAACTTAGGTGGTGGGGTACTTTCATTCTTAGGGTAGATCTCTCAGTCCCTTTTCAGTGACTCATATAAATTTGTTTAAAAGGACTAAGGAATTCGGATCTAAAAGATGATGTTGTCGAGTACAGCAACACTGGAAAAATCATAATTAAATGTAGGAGGTCATGGTTTGTTTTTGCTCTATCCCTGAGATTCTTTTTTAGGATTTAAAAATGGAATCCACGACCCAATATTTGAAATTAACTTTTTAAAAAAAGATGGCCCAAGCCGGGCGGTGGTGGCACACGCCTTTAATCCCAGCACTCGGGAGGCAGAGGCAGGCGGATCTCTGTGAGTTCGAGGCTGGGCTGGACCGATAGCCTCCAAAACAATACAGAGAAACCCTGTCTCGAAAAACCAAAAAAAAAAAAAAAAAAAAAAAAAAAAAAAGTGGCCCAAATAGCACATTACAGGCAAAGGTGTTCATTAAATTTGCTTTTAGGGTAGCCTGATTACTTAGCAGATGCTGTCTTTGTCAGCAGTGTGTACCACATGTCCGCTCACCTCTTTTTGAACTGTTCAAAAAGTTGAGCGTGTGATCTGCTTCTGATGGAGCACTTCATTCTGCCTCTGCCTGTCGCTGTGGGAATGTGTAGGTGCTCAGAAGAGGGGAGTAGGGTAAGCTGGCCTGCTTGCTGAGTGTCTTCCATATTTCTTTTAAAGCTGATGAGTGCGATTCAGAAGGGAAGGGTGTCTGGAAGCCGGCTTGCCATCCTGATGAAAACTGCCGAAGAGAACTTGGACCGAAGAGTTCCAATTCCTGTGGATCGTAGTGGTGGAGGATTGTGAGTCTGACCAGTAAATCCACAGCCAACAAGCATAGGACCCCCGGCACCATGTACCAACCAGAGTTGACTTAAATCACTCTAAAATAGTGGCTATGGTAGTGTGTTTTAAAAAAGAAAGAAAGAAAGAAAGAAAGAAAAATCACTGGAAAACATTCCAAAACAAGATGTTGACATATTTGCCAGCTTAATTTGCCAATCCTTTATTTGTAGTTGCCATTCAGTCTATCTAGCTTCTAAAAAGTGTTTTTCTCATTTTTTTTAGTGCGTATTGATTACTGTTTTGTATCCATTTTGTAACCTGTCAGACTTGACACCCTGTCTTTCCAGTCATTCATTCAAATCATCTTGAGAGGCAGACCCGGCAAGATTGGAAAGAGGCTAGAAAGCATGGGCACCCAGAGCCCCAGAGCTTGAACTTGTAGATAGCATTATTGTTTTCTTCTTGGAAAGGTGCTTGACCTATTGACATGATCAAGGTTTAGGAGACATCCCAGCTCTTTCTTTCTACCGCCCCTTCCAAATAATAATAACTGCACATTTTCCTGCCTAGAGTAACACTGGTTAATCTGGAGAGGGGAGACAAAGTTAAGATCTGGTTGAGATTTGGTTACATTTCTAAAAGAAAAACTCTGAAAGCTTCCAGAATCACAGGAGTAAGATAAAGACAGCATTGACATTTGCCGGAGGTACAGTGATAGTTGCTTCTCAACAGTTCATTTTTTTTTCCCCAGGCACTGCTGGCTTTCTTTGACTATTATAGTTGCCAGAAAAATCCTTGCTTTTTTTACTTTAAAACCAGCATTTGAGTGGCAAGTTGGATATAATGGGATGAGACCAAATCTTTCCATCCCTTATGGGAGTAATGATAAAACACAATTTTCAATCCCACCAGTCCTGAATCTTGCAGTGTGTGGTGTTATCAGGCCCATTCTTGTTGGGGGTGGGCAGTAGTGGTGGTATTTGCAAAGAGATAATAAAACAGAATTGGGCAGGCTTTAGTTAACTTTAATTATAAAATTAAAATAAAGCATGCCACTTTAATACCCAAGGACAGTCTGCTTGCCAAAAGCCTTTCTCTTTGTTTACTCAATGGGAAAATTCCATTCTACCAAAAATAAAAAATAAAATAAAATAAATCAAAGAAAGACACCACACACACACACACCCCAAAACTAAATGTGCATTGAACTCAGCATACAGTGCACCCAGGTGAGGAGTGAGTGTGCGGGGATTGCCTGTTATTATGGCTTGTATCCCCCTGGTTCTCTTAGGACTGGGCTTAGAGATGCCAGTCGGAAGATGTTTCTGTTATATTCTGTTGTCATTATAATATTTATTAATTGCACTCCCTTTTCTGAAGCTGTCAGCGATTGGTTTTCTGTGCATCATCGAAAAAGTAGCCCTTCCTCCTTCTCTCCTGGCAGGCTTTGCGGCAGACTGTGTCCTAGCTTTGTGAACTGATACCAAAAGCACCTTTGTGCTGCCGTTTCTGCTTATGCCAACACTATGTCTTTTTGCCTCATTGAGGATGGGTTATGAGTCTGCATGTCATAATATAAACTGGAAAATTCACTTACCGAAGCTCCCCACCCCCTAGTGTGCAGAAACTGTGAAGTTTAGATACTTCCACTTCTGCAGGGTCACCTGACACACGGAAGTGATGCCACAATGGGTGTCACTGAAAATTTCTTTCGAAGTGTGAATATTTTTTACACCGTTCTTCATTATTGCTATTTTTAATGAATGGAAGCACATGGCTTTGCAATTGAATGTTTTTCTATCATGACAATAAAGTTGACTTTCTACCTAGTGACAGTTAAGTTGCCAGAAACACTGTCCTTTAAGATATCCCAAATGATATATCACAATATTCTACATCTGTACTCTCTCCTCTTTCTTTTTCTCTTTTTCTTTCCAGTTAGATGAAGATAACAATGGCTTGTATCACCCCCGGTTCTCTTAGGGTAGGGACTGGGCTAAGAGTGTGACTCGCTCAGGCCAATCTGTGTTTGGAAGCAGGTCTTGTTTGTTCATGCTTTGCTATGAATGAAGTTCCTTTAAGGACAAAGAGAAGCACACTTTTTTTTTTCATTTGAGCATATCTGCTTTGGCTTAAAAATCTGCTCGCTCTAAGACACGCTCCTTCACCAACCCCACAGACTCCCTTGGGAAATGAACTGCTTTCATGACATTCCTTGCACCCCAGCATTTTCCTGTGAGGTCCTCACGAAACCTGGACAGCCTGTTTTTTACAATCCAATTTAAGCAAAGGAGGAAGGGAATAGGGGAGCAAGCCCCTTTAAAAGTCACTCAGAGAATAAAACATTTTTTCCTTTTCATATAACCCTGGTGTTTGTTGACTCTGTTGAGGTGTGGGAGTGATTGTGCGGGGATTGCCTTTTATTATCAAGTGATTTACTTCAAGAGCCTCTGAGGGGATTCAGGTGAAGGAATCGCATCTGTGCTGGAGGGCTGTATACTCCTTTAACTAGCCTCTGCCTCAGTCGTAATAACAGTGATAATGCTGGATTTCCTGTTTAGCTAAGGTTGTCTGCCTCATATCCATCACGCTTCATATTCTTGCGTCCAATCTGTTTATATTGAGGGGATCTTCAGATTTCTGTTATCAAGTGCATGCTTTGTATTCTGCCTTATTTTATGGCTTGATTTTTTTTATCTGTTTCAAAGTATGTACAACAAAAATGTTCATTCTGATTTTAACAGAGTTCAGCATAGGGATTGTCACTGATTGTTCCTCTTCCCCTCTTTTTTATGCATTTGTAAAAAGGTCTTTTGCATATGAATGTAATCACATATTGATGTCACTGATGCTGTAAACTCGCACTGCTTTTTACTCTAGGGAGGAAAAAAGCCCTACTATGTTTTAAAAGGATATCAAATCTTAGTCCAGTAGTGGAGTGGAAGTACTCACTCACTGCATGCTTTCATGCTGCCAGACTTCTATGTATTGTGTTTGGGTTACCCTTCTAGACTGCACTGTTAAATGCTCTGTTTGAGGCTGGCTTGTCAGTTTTAAACTGTCTCGGTATTTTATCACCATTATTTATTACTTTTGATATACAGAATGAGCTGCATGCATTTATAGAGCAATAAGAAGATGTATTTAATGTGCCTTGTTTTTAACTGAGTAAGAGCCAAAAGCATGAATCAATAAAGCTGATTAAAATGGTCCATTTGCTGGCATTTCTGTGTTGCTTGTGGTTAGACAAATAACTTTAATTATTGTTGAAGTTTTTAAAAGTTTGCAAATACTTTCAGAAACTGTATTTTAAATGACACACATTAATTCTTTTACACTGGAATTTTATAATTTTATCTTGGGTGAAGTGTCTGTATAGACAGACATTGTTTTATGAGACTACCAAAATTAGTTATTAATTTGTTGCTTTAATTTTATGTGACCCTAGTCAACATTTATCCCATTATAATTCAATAGAATTCCTCCCCCTCCCTCCCTTGTAGACCAGAACCTCTCAGCCTCCACGTCTCCAGGCATGCTGATGAATTTTACCATAACTAAAATCAATAGAAATGAATGGGAAAGATTACATAATCCATTTTGATCATCTTACATGTCAAGTTAGTGCAGGGTTGCCAAGCGTTGATAAATGCTCTGACAGAAAAAAAATGCTACATATTTTCATTGTCAGTAAGTCAGTAGAGCTGTTGTCAGTTGAACACTGGCCCAATTTTATAATGCCCATGTTATTCTGTAGGTTTTAATTTGCACATGTGCTTCCTCCATTTGTATCTTAGAAGTGCTACCTCCAGGTGGAGCACACTCAAGAGACTTTGTGAGTTTCTTTTTTTTTTTTTAATTTTATTTTCCAGTTTAAATTTAGATAAGAATCAAGGTTGCTTCACAAGTCAGTTCCAGGTCCCTCATGTGAGTTTCTTATAGTCCTTCAAAACTGTATCCCAAGGAAATGCTCCCTCCCAGACAGACTTGTGACAATAAGCCATTTGTTCAGCATCTGGAAAAAAGATACAAGAGCAGTTCAAAACGTTTTCCATCGATCCAGCTCATGCAATTTGATAGCACTTAAATAAAATTTGTCAAAATATTGCTCCTAGTTTTCAAAAATATGTAAAATTGATGGTCACTTAAGAAAAGGAAGCATGACACTGGCCTCAATATTTCGTGGTTTTTGTCAACAACACATCGTCACTGGTGTCAGATTCCATCTGATGACATTTGACTTAGGAAAGAAAGAAGCAACAAGAGTTTTAAATTGATCTGGCACCCTCGTAATGAGACAAGTTCTATGTGGGAGGCAGAGATGATGAGCCTTTTATGCCTGTACTTTGTATTTTAGGTCTCTAATTAGCTACCTAACTTGTGAAATGCAGGCATAGAACATGATGTGTGTAAGCCTGGATGATGCCAGGGACAGCCCCACAGGACAGCCCTGGGTTGAGAGGTGCAGTGCAAAGTCAGCTGCTGTCCATCCATCTCTAAATACCTGCTCTGGAACTGACGTGATCTAAGGAAAATACCGTACAGCAGAGTCATTAGGACCACCCGTGTTCTCTACCTGTGATGTTGAATCATTGGCTTAGCATATGTTCCCACCAGAAGTGTTCACATTGTAATTACTTGAACCCAGGGGAGGGTTGTGTGATACCTCCTTTAGGAAGGTACTGTATTGTATTTCAGTAGAATTAGGGCACTTTAAGTGCAGAGAATGTGCGTTGGATGTTAAGAGTATGGCCCATGGTCCAGCTGGTTTGTTCTACAGCCTTCTGAGCCTTGCAGAGAGAGCCACAGCCAGCCATGCCTGTTCTCATCTTCCAGGTAAATGACTACTGTAGGGAAATAGGCGTCTTGCTTCTTCACCAACTGCTACCAGCTTTCTTCCACTGTATCGAAGAGTGGGGAAGTGGGAAATCTCTCTCTCTCTCTCTCTCTCTCTCTCTCTCTCTCTCTCTCTCTCTCTCTCTCTCTCTCTCTCTCTCTCTCCCTCCCTCTCTCTCATACACACACACACACACACACTCAGCTGCCTTTAGCCCTCATACTCATCGTTCTTTGTTAGCTTTTAGCATCTAATTTTTATTAGCCTTTTCATTAACTCCAATTTAGACTTGCTTTATTTTGTTTGTCTAAATAATCTAAATTTAATAAACTTAATTAGCATAGCACGACTCTTTCACCTGACCTCAGTGTCCTCTTTTAATCAAGGTCTTCGGCCCTTTCCAACCCCTTCCTCCAAGGGTTAGCATAAACAGCCACTCCCTTTTCCGTGTTGCTTGTTAGGTTTTCTCACCATTGCTTCACTATCCATTTTTCCCCCCCTGTCTCCATCATTAATTGATTTACAATTCATTTTTATGCATATGGAGTTTTTCCTATCCAAGTTAAGAAGCTGTAAATCTTAGATCCATTGAAATGACAGTGAGAAATATTTCATTTTATCCCATGAATCATTTGCCATCCTTATTGCAGAAAAATGGCAAAATTATGGTGTACCATGTTTTCATAAATTACCCTTCCCCTCCCCCACCCCACCGCTCTGGTTCATTTCATTATCTGTGTGCGAGACTCAGAGTCAGACTGTAGACACGTGGGGTAAACATCTCTGGTCTTGCAGCAGGCTAATCAAAATTTCATAACATTACAAATTAATTCCTCTGCTACCGTGAAGAACTTAATTCATGTACAAAATATATCAGCTATTTTATAAAGTCAAAAATAGCCTGATATTAAAGTATGCCCTGCGATTGCTTGTATCAAAAAGGGGGACGGGTGTTGAGTTCTTTAAATAATGTATATAATTTTCATTGGTTTCATATGTCAAAGTAGTCATTTATGTCCTGAAAGGTGGGTGCTTGGCACTATGTGTTTGAACACTATTAAAAAATCATAGCTTCTTCCAAAAAGGCCAAATCTTGGGTTTGCATTTCACATATGACCTAGAGTGAAATAACTTTGGCAAGGAATCCTCTCCTTGTTCCCAGCAAGAAGTATCCTTAAGAGTAAAAGAACTGAAATGTCTTAAGATAAATAAATTTGAAAAGCAATACATGAAATCAACTACCAAATCATAGTGTTGCTGAGTGGATGGATTTGACTCTTTTAACTGCCATGTTGTGGTCAGGATTCTAAGGAGCCGTGGTCAGTTCTTTGCAGATTCTGCAAAGTCAGGTTTATCCTGGTAAAGATGTGTGCCCTGGTGAGTTGTGCCCTCTGTCAAAATGGGTTATCCTTTAAATGGAGCTCCTCCAGCTTGATCCAGGCTGAACCATTAAATAAAAACCAAGAAAAAACACCTTTGAAAAGGGTTAATTGGCTTTAATACTGATTTATTTCATATAGGACGCTAATAGACCAGAGCATTTACTTCTGTTTTGGTTCATTAAAAACTGGCTCTAGTTCTTGAACAATTTGTTTCTAATAATTAAAAATTAGACCAATTAGAGTGGTCTTCATATAACCTACTCGCCATGATGTACTCTTTATGAAAGCAAAAACCTGACTCACTATTTCCTAATTCCTTGCCATCTCAGCCACAAAATCAGTGCACAAAATACTTCGAAGGCCGTGGAGCTCAAGTCTGGGACATTTCTCCTTTAGTCCTAAAGGACCCATGAGGAGAGGTGAGGTGTGTGCCTGTTGTGGGGGAGGCGGGTGTTAATATGTGCGCTGAGATCAAGAACGCTAAACCGCTGTGTGCTGTGGCCGGAGCATCATTTCCCTGATAGTGGTGCGTCCCCGTCTCAGTGACTTAGCTTTTGCCATCATCGCTCTAGGTTTGGAAATGTGACTGCACCGGAAAAGTTTCCAGTGACCTCTGAGGTGCTGTCTGTCTGCTGGGGAGGTCTCCCTTGCTGGGTCGAGTTTTTGTTCTTATGCTGCCCTCTAATGGATACCAAATTATTTCATTAGAGTCAGAACAAAAGTACATTTTCAGCTTCTCAGGCCTCCCGTGCCAGCCCATCAGTCTTGGAAATGGTGATGTGACCTGCTTGCTCTTTGCACGTGTTCAGGTGTAGGAGACATTTGTGTTAATTGTGTCCTGCTGCCCTGGCCAAAGTTGCACTCCTGTTCTGGACAGTGAAGAGACAGCAAATGCTAATTTGTGCTCTGTAGAACTTTCAGTTTTTTTTTTTTCCTTGCCAGCAATTGTAAAGAATTGATGTTCTAGGGCACTTAAAAATGAGGAATAAAAACAGTGTAAGTGCTGTATTAAGATGATATGCTGTATGTTTTATCAGCCACTGGCACCTAGTTCAAAAGACAGAAAAATTAGCAGCAGTGGTTTGGGAATAGGCCTGCGCATGAGGTGGCTATCCAGTCCATACGTGAAGATATCAGTGTTTTTCACATGCTGCTTTCTGACACCCACTGCTAGGGCTGAAAACTATCTCTATTGTCCAGTTTGATTGCTTGAATCAAACTGATTTACAGCAAATCCATCTGAGCTTTGATAAATCTATTACAGTTTCATTTCACTGATTTCATTAACGTGAATAAAACCAGCCACGCTTTCTGCATAACTGCCTTTTAATGGCTTGGCCCTGTCACCTGCCTGAATATTAATCCCCCTGACTTATTGCTCCACAGAGGGAATGAGTAATGGGTATTTGAATGTGATCAGCACAGTACAATGCAATTAAGGAAGCAGTACTGTTCTGTGCCTTTAATCCTGAACTAATTTGAATTGCAGTTTGATAGCACAGTGAATCCTGCATAATTATGTAGGGTGCATATTAAACTCTGTGACAAACCGGAGAAGCTTTTAACCATCACAGCTATGGTAGACAAGTGAAGGCTAGAGTCAGAGAGCCCACTATTGGACCAAGAGCTCAATTAATAGGAAACCCTCAGCAGGGGTGGCTTGGCCATGCAACGTATCTTAGAACAAAAATGTGAAATGTTGACTTGCTCCCAGTCAATTTTAATTTATGTGCATTGGAGTTTTCAGAGTTCCTTTTGAGTTTGCAAGGTAGGAAGGGTAGAGAATTGTCCCTTTGCAAAACTTTATACTGTCTCAATTCCTTTAGCAGTTAAAACCAGCAGCTGTCACAGCTAGGGAAAAACCACATGTGTACACCTACAAACACATACATGCATGCACAATTATAGCTGCCTGGAATGTACCCCCACTTAATATATCCTCATTTCCCAGAAATTTGGATATCATTTCATGGAGTCAGGCTTCCTGATGCCA